GCTTATCCTGTTTTGTCCATTCTCTCTTGTGGAATCCACAATAAAGATTCTTGCCTACATTTCTTTGTTACCCCCTCTGTCTCCTGACTGATTGGTGCTTCCCCATATGGTCCAACATAATATACCATGCCTACTTTTGTTTTTTAACTTTTTATTTAAGTTCAATTTAATTAACATATACTATATTATTAGTTTCAGGGATAGAATTCAGTGTTTCATCAGTTGCCTACAACACCCAGTTCTCATCACTTCAAGTGCCCTCCTTAATGTCCATCACCCAGTTACCTCATCCCCCCCACCTCTCTTCCAGAAACCTCTGTTTGTTTCTTATAGTTAAGAGTCTCTTACGATTTGTCTCCCTACTTTTTTTTTTTAAGATTTTATTTATTTGAGAGAGAGAGAGCAAGAGCAAAGGGGAAAGGCAGAGGGAGAGGGAGAAGCAGTCTCCTCACTGAGCAGAAAGTCCGATGTGTGACTTAATGAATAAATGAATATGAATAATTTTTTTTGAAATTTAATGAATAAATAAAATATTTTTTTGAATAAAATCTTTTAAAAATTCCACATAGGAGTGAAATCATAGTATTTGACTTTCTCTGACTTATTTCTTTTTTTTAAAAAAAGATTTTATTTCTTTAAGACAGAGAGAGAGAGAGGGAGAGAGAGAGAGACAGTGGGAAGGGGCAGAAGCAGGCTCCCTGCCAAGCAGGGAGCCCAATGCAGGGCTCAATCCCAGGATCCTGGGATCATGACCTGAGCCAAAGGCAGATACTTAACTGATGGAGCTATCCAGGTGCCTCCCTGACTTATTTCACTTAGCATGATAACTTCTAGTTCCATCCAGGTTGTTACAAATCGTGAGATTTGATGACTGAGTACTATTCCATTATATACCATAGCTTCTTTATCCATTGATCTGTCGATGGACTTCTGGGCCCTTTACATAGTTTGGCTATTGTGGACATTGCTGTTATATGCAGTGGGGTGTATGTGCCCTTTTAAATCACTATGTTTGTATCTTTTGGATAAATGCCTAAGTGCAATTGCTGGGTTGTAGGGCAGCTCTATTTTTTTAACTTTTTGAGGAACCTCCAAACTGTTTTCCACAGTGGCTGCACCAGTTTGCATTCCCACCAATAGTGTAAGAGGGTTTCCCTTTGTCCACATCCTTGCCAACATCTACTGTTTGCTGAGTTGTTAATTTTAGCCATTCTGAGAGTGTGAGGTGGTATCTCATTGTGGTTTTGATTTGTGTTTTCCTGATGCCAAGTGATGTGGACCAATTTTTTCATGTGTCTATTGGCCATTTGTATGTCTTTTTTCGAGAAATGTCTGTTCATGTCTTCTGCCCATTTCTTGACTGAAAATGGGGAAAAACTGAGAACTTTTCCCCTAAGGTCAGGAACACAACAGAGATGTTCATGCCTACTTTTTCTAGGGAACTGTGAGTATAACAAACTTCTTTCTTCATGATAGTCATTTCTCTATGTGTATTACCATATCCGATTAAAATGAACCCCAGTTACCCTTAAAATACCAGGAAAGTGTGGTGAGTTTGAAGCCAAGTGAAGAAATTGTTCTCAGATAACATAATGGTCAATTATGCTACCATCTGCTTGCAGATCAAGTAGGATGAGCACTGGGAATTAACCATCAGATTCCATTATTGGACAGCATTTCAATATTGGAAGACTTTTAAGCAGGGGAAATATAACAATAGTGGAGAAAGGTAAACTTTGGAGCAAAGACTTTAAATGATTGAAATTTGTTCCAAACAAGAGAAAAAAAGCACCCACCTACATAAAAGGGCAACACAGAAGAGGCAGCATTACAATTCTGAGAAGACCATGCCTGTTTGGCTCAGTTGGTTAAGCACCTGCCTTCAGCTCAGGTCATGATCCCGGGGTCCTGGGATTGAGCCCCACGTTGGGTTCCCTGCTCAGCAGGAAGCTTGCTTCTCCATCTGCCTCTGCCTGCTGCTCCGTCTGCTTGTGCTCTCTCTCTGTCAAATGAATAAATAAAATCTTTAAAAATAAAAAATAAGATATAAATTAAAAAATAAAAATAAATAAAATAAAATTCTTTTTTTTAATTTTTAAAAGATTTTTATTTATTTATTTGATAGAGATTACAAGTAGGCAGAGAGGCAGGCAGAGAGAGAGGAGGAAGCAGGCTCCCTGCTGAGCAGAGAGCCCAACTTGGGGCTCGATCCCAGACCCAGATCCTAAGACCATGACCTGAGCCGAAGGCAGAAACTTTAACCCACTTAGCCACCCAGGTGCCCCAATAAAATAAAATTTTGAGAAGACAGAAATATTCCCAGAATGAATAATGAGGTTTTATAAGTGTATATGTACATAAGAGTGTTTCAATTACAGATACTGAGCTTCCCATTTGTGATAAAATCTATGACTGCATTGATTTTTGAGGCTTTACAACTTCCTGAGTCAACAAGTTAACTGGCTTGTTAGCCAGTTAAAAAGTCAGATGTGGACAGAACTTGTCTGCAATTATCACCATCTTGGTAGCTTAAACAACTCCCATTTATGTTTTGACAGCATCTGTGAGTCAGGAGTCTGGGGCATGGGTCAACTGGGTTCTCTGCAGGGCTTCAATCTATATGTCAGTTCAGGATCTGTGGTCTCCTTTTAAGGCTTGACTGGGGAGGGAGGTGCTTGTAGGCTCACGTGTTTACTAGCAGCATTAAGATTCAAGCATTTCTTGAGAAAATCTACAATTGGTAAAGTAGAATTGAATTTGGTCAATGTTTTGCTAGTTAATTTTGATTCTGTTGTGGGGAGGATAGGATTTAATCTATTAAATGCCATTATCCATCAGTCTACCCTAATACAATGGTAGGTATATGTCAGCAGAAGTTCATCAACATCCAAATATAAGTGGACATTTGTGAAAAATGTATGATAATGGTTACTCAAACAATGTTTGCAAGAATAGTTAACACAGAATAACAGTAAGCAGGGAGAATGTATTAGTTTCTTATTGCTTCATAACAAATTATCCCTAAACTTAGTGCCTTAAAACAGCCAACATATCATCATCTTATTTATTTTATTTTCTGTGGGTCAGGAATCTGGGCATGCCTTAGCTGGGTCCTAGCAGCATGGCAATTAGGTGTTGGCCAGAACTGCAGTGTCATCTTCAGACTTAACTAGGGCAGGGTATGCTTTCAAGCTCAAACAGCAGAGTTTGTTGACAGGATTCAGTTCTTCATGGCTATTGAACTGAGGGCCTTACTTCCACAGCTGTTGGCCAGAAGCAGATGTCAGTTCCTTGCAACCTGGTCTTTACTCTGGGGTAGCTCTCCATATGGAAGCTGGTGATCCTTGGGGGAAACAAGAGAGCAAGAGAGAGTTTTGTAGATGGAATCTAATCTTTCTAAAACATAATCTCAAAAGTGATATCCCAGCACTGTTGTCTTACTTTATTCACTGAAAGCTAGTTAGTAAACTCAGCCCCCATAAAAGGCAAGGGAATTATAAAAACAAGGGCATGGACACCAGGAGGGTATCACTGGGAGCCATCTTAGAGGTTTGCCTACTACACAGAGTGAAACAAACATTAACAGTATGCTGAGTAGCATCACTTCATGTTATGAGACAGAGCTGGGACTGAGGAGGAAGAAAAAGCAACTGGTGCTGCACATTCAGAAATTAAGAATAGAGCCTTTCTTTTCCCAAAGCTTCAGACACAGGTTAAGAGATGGGGTAGGGGTGCCTTGGTGGCTTAATCAGTTAAATAGCTGCCTTCTGCTGGGGTCATGATATCAGGGTCCTGGGATTGAGCCCCACATCAGGTTCCCTGCTCAGTGCTGCTTCTTCCTCTTCCTCTGCCACTCCTCTTGCTTGTGCTCTCTCATTCTCTGTCAAATAACTCTTAAAAAAAGAAAGAAAGAAAGAAAACGAAAGACTTCAGACTCTGAGTACTACTACAGCAGCATCAGCATTTACTACCAGGCCCAGCATTGTAAGGGCAACCAGAAATGAAATGAGAATTGACTTGGGAATCAGAATTTTATCTGAACACCGGCTCTGGTGCAACCACTGGTAGATTCACGCTCTTAGTAAAGTAATTTAAGCTCTTTGGGGTTTATTTTCATTTCTTATAAAATGGGGATGGTAGTATCAAATATTACTAATTGTATTTGCGAGGATGGTATTGAGAGCCATGATAGTTACATAATATTAATGGCAACGTTTCTACTGTGTTGCTACAGTGAAAAATAAGGATGTAAAATCTTTGCTTTTTGAACATACTTCCTAATTACTTACAAATTTTATATTAGATGTTTCTGAAAGAGCTTTCCGACTTAGACATAGATTTTAGTGTTTCACTATCAAGCATACTTCAAAAGCAAAATATGAATGCAATAAATTCATTTAATTCTAAAGAGGTTCCCTACATTTTCTAACTTCTCTGAATCATTTTTCAACACAAAATTGTCAATGCCCTATTTTGCTATGACTTTTAACATATACTTCTCTTAATTCAATATATAAAAATATTTCCATATCTAATCAATATAAAACATTCTTAATGAGATTTCTTTACGTGTATAGTTCAACAGATTAAGGTTTTGCAAACCTGCGCTGTCTCCCTTACAGCACATCCTCAGGCACGAGCTCCTAATACACGAGATTGCCATACTAGGAATTGCAGCCATACTGCACACGCCTCTTTTAAAAATTAAAAAAAAAAAAAAATTTAAAAGAAATTTCCCCTCCCTTTCATTGCACATGCATTTAAAAAATATTCTCTGTCTTTTTGCTCTACATTATGATAACTGACTCAACAAGATGTCCCAACAAACTTTTTCTTTAATTTTTACTTTTAATCGGGAGTGGAATCTTAAGAAGCTACCCCACACAGCACTGAGCTACTGCATACCCTTGGGCTAGGTGACCTGAAAGAAAGCCTCCGGGGGGCGGAGCCCGCTTGACGCACTCCGGGAGGCGGCGGACGAGGGGCGGGGCAGCGCGCTCCCGGAAGTGGCGCTGACGTCGCTGTGCGTGCAGGCGGCTGCGTCGGGCTGCAGGAGAAGATGGCGGTCTCCACAGGTCGGTTCCCGGGTTGGGCTGTCTGCATTCCCACTCCAGCCCGGCTTTGCCCCTCTGCCTGCTTCTGGCGGCCGAGCCCTGACTGTATGGGAGAATCCAGAGTGCGCCTTCTCGGACACCTGGCTCCCCGTGGAGCGAAGCCCGGGAACGGGGAGGGTCCGGGCGGGCAGGGCGCCGGCGCTGAGGGCCCGGGGCGGCTGTCGGGGGCGCGGGTCGTGCTTGCGCGTCGGCCGCGCGCCCGCGGGCCGGGGGCGGGGTGGCTCCGGCGCGGGCGCACTAGCTGGGTCTGGCGGGTGCGGGTCCGATTGCGGAGCGGAAGACGGTGTGGGAGGGAGGAGAGGAGGCCCACGGTGGGCGGTGTCAACCTCAGGCACGGAAGGGTTTCGGGGTAAGGGGCGTCCTGGATAGTGTGGGGATTACGTTCTCTTGGACTTGCCTTTATATGGGTGGAGGAGAAGAGCACTAGGAAGAGGACTGTTGCTCTTTGTAATAGCGGAGAAATGATGACTGTTCTTACCTTACTGAATACGTGTTGTCTTTTTATTCATTTAAATACAAAACTAGTGCAAGTAAAAAGCATGGAGCAAGGAAAAGCTAATTGAGGAAGTGGTGTTTTAGAAAGGCTGTTAAGCTGTTCTCTTGTACGGTGTACAGTGCTTGGTTTCCAATGAGCACAGACTTTGAAATTAAATATTAACGCTGAAATTTTCGAAGCATGACCATTTTAAAAAATGTTAAAAATGAAAATGTTAAGTTTGACTAAACATACGCTTTTGCTGTTTCATTTTTCTTAGTCATTATTGAAACCAGGTTATAGAACAGTGATTTAATTTTTCACGCCGTCATTGCATAATAGAACGAATTTTTAAACCTATATTGTGCTAAAAATGGTTGCATTGTATGTTATTGTAACTTGTAGTAAGTACCTCAGAATACATTCAACGTACATTTTAATGAATGTGTCTTTTAAGGCTCATCTTTATTTACAGATGTCATAGGTGGTGAGATCCTTAACAGTTTTAGCGTTGGGAAATATACTTGAGGTCAGAGCGAACTAGTAAAGGATTATTTAAAAAATGAGATTTTACTGTTACAACTGTTTGAAATCCAGTGCGCTTGTGAATGGGTCATATCTTTTTAAGAATTGTGCTTAGTACCTATGGGTTCTTGAAAATTTAATAATAAAATGGTGCATTTTAATTTGATAGTTTTCATTTTGCGGATTGCATTGTTTATTTAAACATGATTTTTTCCCCCTAACATTATACCTATAAGAAAGTGTGGAGATATTTTGGAAAGACCAAATATTAGATGACATTAATGGCAGATATTTTTTGTTAACCACTTTTATTTTTTTTAAGTCACTTATAGACATTTTATAATATAAATTATAAAGATGTGGCTGATTATTGGCACATTTCCTTATACATCGAATGCCTATATTTTCTAGTTTATACTTCACAATGTTACATTTTCACTGTTCTTAGATTTATGAAATTTGAATACTTAGCATAATTAATAAGGATGTAATTTAGGCATTTGGGCTTTCTTAAACCACTGAAATTCATTTTGAAACTATTGCTAAAAACTTGCCCTGGTAAATTTCACTATTCTATTCATTTTATGTGCCTTACATTATTGACAGTATTGACTTGAGAGGGATAGGAGTGCAGAAGCGGCTTTGGGCTTTTTTTTTTTTTTTTAAGATTTTATTTATTTACTTGACAGGCGGAGATCACAAGTAGGCAGAGAGGCAGGCAGAGAGAGAGAAAGGAGGAAGCAGGCTCCCCGCTGAGCAAAGAGCCCAATGCGGGGCTTGATTCCAAGACCCGGAGATCATGACCTGAGCCGGAGGCAGAGGCTTTAACCCACTGAGCCACCCAGGCGCCCCTGGGCTTTTAAATTAAACTTCCTGTTAGCTATATTTTTGTATCTGCTTCTTGGTGGCATGGAAGGGAAACAGTCAGTGTTTATTTGTGAAATAAATGTGATGTAACTTGAAATTTAAAGTGAGATGAGCTAGATGGATGTAATAATGTACATGTTTGGGGGTGCCTGGTTGGCTCAGTCTGAGCATGGAACTCTTGATTTTATGGTCTTGGGTTCAAGCCCCATTTTGGGTGTAGAGATTACTATAAAAAATACATAAATAAACTTTGAAAAAAGAGAATCATTTAGAAATGTATATAGACAAAATAATCTTGGATAAAATTAGTTATTTGGTAGGCCAAAAGGAAGAGACACCTGACAAATATTTTTTGATCTTTTCTAAGGCTGTATATTTTAATGTGTGTTATCTAAGTCATATACTTTTACCCTTCCTCTTATTAGAAGAAAATTGGGGAGAAAAAATTCTGATTAGAATGGGAACTATTGGTTCTCTTACTTTGCAGATGAGAAGACCGAGGCCTAAAGAAATACAAGATTATACATAGTGATAGACTCAAGATTATAATTCGGGTTTTTTTGTTCTCAGTCTAATGTTCTTTCTGTTATGAGGACCTGTGAATTTGTGAATTTTACTCAAATTTGTGAATATTCCTCAAATCATGACTCTTACTCCCTTTTATGCTTAAGAGTGACTTTCACACTTTTCATTCTAGCAGAATCTTTGTTTCAGACTGTTAAGATTCTTCTTATGAATGGAAATGGGGCTATGGTGGAGACCCACTGCCTGGGTTCCCCTTTTCCAAGAGACAGTCACCTCTGGGGTTCAAGAGGATTTCATAGGACATAGCTTAAGAAAAACTACTTCAAGGAATAGAAATTTATTAGTACATTTAGTATCTTTGATTAAAAAACTTAATTATATCCCAGCACTAAGAAAAAACATAGATAAAAATATTTGTGCAATACTCCAAAAAAATTTTTTTGGGGGGCACCTGGGTGGCTCATTTGGTTAAGCAACTGTCTTTGGCTCAGGTCATGATCCTGGAGTCCCAGGATCTAGTCCCGCATGAGGTTCCCTGTTCAGCAGGGAGTCTGCTTCTCCCTCTGACCCTCCCCCCTGCCATGTTCTCTCTTCTCTCTTATTCTCTCAAATAAATAAAATCTTAATTTTTTTTTAAAATTTTAGAATAGTTCTAGTTTTTTTTTTAAGATTTTATTTATTTATTTGACAGAGAAATCACAAGTAGGCGAACGGGGGTGGGGGGGAAGCAAGCTCCCTGCTGAGCAGAGAGCCTGATGCGGGGCTTGATCCCAGGACCCAGAGATAATGACCTGAGCCAAAGACAGAGGCTTAAAGCACTGAGCCACCCAGGTGCCCTAGAATAGTTTTAGTTTTACAGGGAAGTTGTGAAGGTAGTACATAGAAGATTGTACATTAGAGTAACTAATGTACATTTTCTGTCTCAGGATCCCATCTGGGATACATTGTAATATGAAACATTTAAAAATTTCTTATCACTTAAGTTACAGTAGTGTTACACAGTTCTAGTCTCTGAATGCTGATGATTGTAAAATATCTTTAATGAGAGGTTCAGGAAAAAATGGAGTCTTTTTTTCTTTGATAGTGGGTCTGTGTAAGCCATATGGTTGAAAAACAAAACCAAAATAAAATTTAACTAATTGCCCTATTCAGAAGTGGGCAGCATTGTGTATACGGGAACGAGAACTAGATTAGCATTGTTTTAATTCCCCTGCTTGCCCCTGATAGATTACTGAGGCATGGTAGGCATGCCACTGAGTCTCTTAAGCCTTGCTTTCCCCATCCTTTCTATGAAAAGGTTGGACATGATTTTCCCCATCTTTAAGATGAAGACAAATGGGCAGAATCTTGGGATTGGAACAGAAGAGATCTGCATATGTAAATTACAACCTACAATCTGGGAACTAAACAATAGAACCGAATTGCAGTAGTCTAGTAAATACATTTTCCTCTTGAGACTTTACTAACTGTCCTGATAGATTTTTCTTTGTCCATTAGGAACCTGCATACTCTTGATACATGTTTGCTCTTGACAGTATGATTAAATGATACAACCTTATTATACAGGTAGACATCCCTTTGCACAGTACTACAGAGTGGTAAAAATGACCATTCAAACTGAAACTGTTCAAAGCACTTTTTTTTTTTTTTAAAGATTTTGTTTGTTTGTTTATTTTTTTGAGACAGAGACTGAGAGAGCATGAGTTGGCAGGGGGCATAGGGAGAGGAAGAGGGACAAGCAGACTCCCTGCTGAGCACAGAACCTGATGAGGCTTGATCCCAATACCTTGAGATCATGACCTGAGCCAAAGTAAGATGCTTAACTGACCAAGCCACCCTGGTGCCCCCAAAGCAGTTTTATTAAGTAAGAAAAATTATTATTCTGTGACCTTTGAAAATGTTTGTTCAGACATTAAAAACTCTTCCTGTGGTTACAAGTATATAGGAAAATGAAAAAAAAATTACAAAGCTAATATTTGTTTAGTACTCTTAACATGAGACATTAAGAATTAGAGTGTTTTATTTTTTTAAAAATACTTGTTAGGAGTAGTTTGAATACTACTGTTTTCTAATATAATATGGGGCAAGCATCTTTTCAGTGCTTTGATGAATTGTCCTACTTCTAAGGTGGAATCATTTTTCAGTATTTTATCCTTTGTGCTTTCCATGTTAGGAAGTAATCTGTGACTTTGTTGATTGTGAAGTGTTTTACTTCCTCTGGAACATTGTCATCCTTTTCTTAAATTACTTCTCTCATATACATCCATAAGCTCTCATTCACAAAGTTTATATGGCTGTTCATCTACAGTTCGTCTATAGTCTACACTTTATGGTCGAGTATTTCTTCTTAACTATTTTCATCTGATTCACATTTCACTTCAGTGTTACCAGTTTTTGTTCTTGCTGCACTTTCAGTTTTCATTTCTTTGCTGTACTTTGATCTTCGTTGGCTAATTTCCTTTTTTGGCTGTTTTTATAGAGTGTTTCATGGGTTTGGGTGCCTGGGTGGCTCAGTGGGTTAAGTGTCTGTCTTCTGCTTAGGTCATGATCTCAGGGTCTGAGGATTGAG